TTTGTTGGCACAAATCAAATACGCCAGTTACTGCTGCTGCAGAGGATTTTTCATTTTTTTCTTGGTTTTTGTGTTCCTTAATATTGAGTACCTCGTAGGCCACTCCTTGGTAGGTGCCACTGTAAATTAAATGTCGACGGCTTAACGACTCAACTTGTTAAGTGGATTGTTTTATTCATTGCCTTGAACAGATAACGATACACGCCTGATGGTATTTCAGCTAACAAAAAGAATTTAAATCTGAATAAAAATTTTATTTAAAACTTAAAGGTTATTTCTTGATTTTAAAAATTACACTCAGAAAACAGTTTAACAAACAGGTTAAATGAAATTGACACTTATCTTTACATATTTTGAAAAAAAATTTACAAATTGTGTTTAATTTGTGTAAATAATTGAAGGCTGTAGGTAGCAATTGAGTATAATTGACACAGAAAGAAAAATGTTTTTCTTTGAGTGATACTTAAAGAACTTTTCGTTATTCAATTATTAAATATTTACAGATTACAGAACTTTATTTTCTTCTTAAAATGCAATGATTTTAAAAGTTGTGAGCGATCAACTGAATTTTACTTTCAAAAATTCCAATTCTTCTTGTTTCATACAAAGTATTAAACTTTTCTGTTTTTTAATTGAACTGTTTGCAGATCTTTATCTGCAATCCACATAAAAAATCCAATCAAATGCAAAACTTCAGAAAACCCAGTTTTTGTCCTCAGTTGATCTGATGATTGCTAAACAATTGTTTAATTTTGTATAAGTGCATTCTGACAATTTCAGTTCTTCCCAAGATTTCTTGATCGGAGTTCCATTCTTTTGATTTAATCTTCTGCAATAATATTTCCAGTACTATTAAAATTAACCACTTTATTACTCAAAGTCCAGCTGTTAACCCTTAGATTGCTGCCCTATTTAGCACTATCTAATCTCAGAGTAATCACTAACTGCACGGGGCGGTACGCAGATCTTAGATCTATCATTGAATAATCTCGAAGATTATTAGGAATACTCAAATTATTCAGTGAGATGAGTGGACTCTGCAGAATCCCCCCAGCTATCATAGAGTAAAAATGCACAGGTGCACTAACTCTTAAAAGGGTTAACATAACATAACAGAACATAACTAAATAGAAGAGCTCAACATTTTTGTCTGCAATCATTGTTGGGTTCTCCTTTAATCCCAAATTATTTACTGTTTAGCTATATCCCTTATTCATCTGAGTCGATTGAGTTTTTGAAAAGAAATGATGGTAAAATGTAAACTTCACGTGCTCCATTTATTATTTCTACTCTATCTGTTTTTCAATTCTTATTTCTGATGTGGTGTTAATTGGAGGAAGAATGTCTAATGTAAAAATGTTTATTAATTTACTTGATACTTTATTACTGATTAATTTATCTGTTTCAGAAAGGCACGAATTTGTCTTTAAACACAAAAGTTTTTATTAATCTAAATAGAGAAAAAGACAAAAACTAAATGCAATTTAAATAATTAAATCGATCTTTTGTCCCTACCAATGAACAGTCTAACAAACTCTCATAACAGTTCATCCCTTAAAAAATATTTCTTGAGGCTAGAACTGGACATTCATAGCGAAAATGTGTAATAGTTTCTTTTTCATAAAAGTTTTCACTACTCCAATAAAAGGAATACAGAGTTTGTCTGTGTGAGTTTCTAAACATTAGTGACTAGAAAAGACTGCAGTAAGCCTTTCTAATATATTAATCACACTAAGATCTGGTCTTGTTTTATGAATATAAGCTGGTAACCCTAGGGATACAACTAGAGAAGCGACAAGGCGGGTTCCTATATGTTCCTATATGAAGCATCTGTCCTTAAAGTGATTTATAATTACCCAACACGCTTCACTAATCGCTGAACTTCAACTGAAAAATCTATTTCATTAGGTAGCCTATGGAAGGGGATTATGTCTGCCATTGGAGAGAAAACTCCAATCCTGGAAACTCCTACACTGCAATCCATTTTCAAGCCATCCGTGAAAATTGAAACATCGTTGTTTGCTTTAAAGTTTCTGATGTGTTTGTATTTTTTTTAATGAACTTTAAGAATAGATAATAGTTAATATTTAATTATATCTTAATAATAGATAGATATTCTGTAGCAATTTTTTTCCTTTTTGGAAACGACGTTGAAGACAAAAATCTATTCATTCGGAGCAAACTTACGAAAAATCTTAATTTATGAATTACAACATGTAATTGTCAGAGACTCAAATGTCTAGTAGAAAAACTGATGGAAAATTATATTTTAACGCCTCATATTACTCTTAAACCATTATATATTAAAAAAGCCGAAAAATTCTTAACTTTCGTTCCAAAATATAATAAATTTTGATATAAAGTAACTTATGATCAACTTCATTATATTTAAATATTCCTGATGATTTTATTGGAAATTAATTTAATCAATTTAACTACATTTATTAAGCTTCAGTTTGTTTTAGGAAACTTAACCGAATAAAAAATTACTCATACGTCACGTGCAACAATTTTTATTAGAATCTCTTCACGTTGAGTGTAAAATATGCATTGCTTAAGCGGGGTGCAGACTATCATACTGGTATGTCATACGAGAGAGAAAAACGTCGTATGACACACAGGTATGATAGTCTGCCACCTTTACCAACGTGTTGGCGTGCTCACCAAAATTTTGGTGAACAGCTCTCGCATACGCGTTGTGTATGATAGTCTGTCACCCCTAACGATTCATACGTCATACAAGAGCACTTTTGCCTTGCAAATTTATTGTAAGCAGGTGGAATATGTAGAATTATAATATAAATTTAATATGTTTTTTATTATTTTATTATTAATGTATTTATTATTATTATATTTATTGTTATTAAAATTACACTTATAAATTTGTTAAGTATTTAATTGTATCTTAGTTAAAAAAAATATAAATTTTTACATAAAATTCTTATAAAAAATTAAAATACAATTAAATATTTTATGTAATATATTAAATATTTTATTTAGTTTATTAAATATTTTATTTTATTTTATTTTAATTTATGAACGATGATTATAAGTAAAATTTTTTTTAAAAAAACATCTAAATATAAACATCGTTAAATTTATGATCTAAGCCCAGTAATAAAAAAACATATTGAAAATTGGTCGTAATACATTAATTAATTAATTAATAACCCAAATTTAAGATATAATACTTTGTATTCTAAATATGCTTTTCTTTGTTAAAACTTGTTATTAAAATTTTTAAATGTTAATAACTGAATGTTAAAAAATGAATTTTAAATGTTAATAACCTTTAACTAACAAATATATGGAAATGATCAAATTTCTTCAAAAACAATGAAGATATATACATTCTTATGTATATATATATATACATTATTTGTATGATCTATTTATGAAAAATTTCTTAAGAAACTTTACAGGTAGTGAATGAAATTAACTACGGTCCTTTACTGATCTTTTCATTTCAACTGCTGTGCTTAATGACCAATAAACCTAAAAAAAATATGAATATGGATGCAGATAAAGCATTTTTAGATGCTTTCATCGAATGTTAACAAAAGTAATCGCTGTTTGTGGGATGTCCAAAGATGTGAATATAAAGATCGCAAAAAAAGGCATATATAAAATATACAAAATTATAATCAATTATAAGCAAAGCACAACCTATACGTTAACTATAAATTTTTTCAATTTTAAAATTTTATTTTAAACACACAAATTTTCCCAGCACTACCTGCAAAAGCACTCTTCAAAAATTTTGCCTACTCTTGTGTGTCATACGTGTTCAAATTCGGACGCTAGAAGAAATTTGAGCAAGAGAGAGCGCAACTCGTATGACATACCAGTATGATAGTCTGCACCCCACTTTAAAATAAAGAAAAACAAATTGTTTTTTATTTTTGCACATTATTTATGCATAAATCCAAGCACGTCAAATAGATACCACGTAAAACTCCAAGTTCAGTACAAGGATTAAGTAGGAAGTTGGAAAAAAACACATTCCAATGCAGTTCATGAATGTAAAGAAATGTAAATGCAAATAAATTCAAGAAGAAAAAAAAAAAAAACAAAAATGCATAATAAAGTAAAACAATTTTGCATTTGCATGCCAGCGAAATGCAATATTAGAAGGCTGTTTTGATATGCCATGCATTGTTAGTGCTAGTTTGCATATAGCTTCACTTACTCTAAGGATTCGTCGTAGTAAGAATGCATGTAAAGAAATACACTAAAAGCAACAGAAAAAGAGAATTGAAATAAGTAAGAGCAGATGTGTGTAGTAAGGATATGCATAAGCTAGTGTACGGATGTGGCGTATGCTTTTGTATATATCCTTACGCTATCCTAAAGTGACTCTATAACAAATACACGCATATCCTTTCAACCGATTTAGTTAAAAATCTAAGCAAAAAATGTGAAAACCAAATACGTTTGTTTGGCAATTAATTTTTTTTTAAAATGTATATCAGAAGTACCAAATAGAAAACTATTTTAAAATGTAACGAACGTGGAAAAATATTACTAATAAAAAAATGAAAGTACAAAATCTCTTTGATAAAGTAAAAGCTCTTCACCACAGTTTTCAGTTTAGTGAAATTTATGACCCGTTGTGGTGATTGGCTTTCCATGTTGGCTTTTAGTAAATGATTTTTTTTTTTGAAAAAAAGTAAAGGGGTTTTGTTAGATATTTTTTGTTGGATCCTTTTTTAAAGTTCTTATTAAATCTGCTTCTACATATGCTAGTAAAATATAAATAAAGATAAAATGGAATAGAGTTTCAAAATCAGTTATTTATTTCTAATTATTTTCTTATCAAAAGTCACTAAAAAATATTTATTTAGATTAGACTATTATACATATTATACACATAAGAAACTTTTCAGACATGTAATTTATTTTACAAAATGTTCCGTTGTTTTATTTCAAGTTTACGGTAATCGATTTTGCTTGAATGCAGCTGTTCTTAGCTTTGGCTTCCTAATATAATGTGCATACACAACAATTAACCTTTTCGGGGCTATGTAGGCTATGTCGGCTATGTGGGCTATATGTACATACATTATTGCGAATTCGTACTTGAATGTCTTGTAAATTGTAATTTGTATGGTTGTAATCTTGTTATTGTTCTGTTTTTTTTCAGGCTACAATGAGCTGGCAAGTGTAAATGTTATGCTATGTGCACCCAACAATTTACAACAATTTACAACTTGAGACATGAACTTTTGAACTTTGTGGAAATACCTTTCAGTTTATTGTTGCTAACATGTAAATTCATTTAGGCAAATGAAAACTTAAATTGCTGCATTCAGTATATAATCAAGTTATTTAATGAAAATTTTGTATAAAATAGTCTTATGGGTACTACCAAAAATATGTTAAACATTTTCTTTCTTTTATTAATAAACATAAATTATAATAAATAAAAGTGGATCAAATAATTTCGAAGTGAATTCTGTATAATTATGATAAAATTTTAAGATACTATTTCCATGGAGGCATTTCAAAATTTAAAATCATGTATTCTATATATAAATGAAACTAAAAATTGTCTTACTATTGTTGGATTTGCAATTTTTGTTTTAAATCTGACTCTTTTTCTATCTCTATCTCTTTCTCTCTATCTTTCTTTCCTCATTTTTCTCCACTAGTTTGGAATAAAAGTTCTATGCATGGATTTGTAGACACCAGTGACCAGAAAGAACGGCAACATTCACACAGTTTCTTGCATTGAGTTCTTAAGATCTGATCTTGTTATATAAGAACTATATTAACTAGGAAGATGCACTTGACTTAAGTATCTTCTATTTATTATTTGCAAGCTGAAGAAAGTAGAGGTTAGTAATTAATTAGTAAAGGTAGTAACAAGGTGAGTCAAAGCGTCAGCTTTTTCATTCCCTTCCATGTTTCTAAGTCCAGAAATACAGAATAAAATGATGTCAGCTAGATGCCTTTCTATATTCTTCGACCAGGTTTATTTTTATGAAAAAGGGCTTTAATTGTCACTTATATGGCAATTGAAATGACAACACTGTGTCCGTCCTTGAAGTGACTTCCGATTAGCTAACCTGCTTCTCTAATTGAAAAAATTTCATATTGGTAAAATGTGGCTTTATTAGGTAAGCTGAGGGAGTGATTAAAGTCTGTAAATGGGTAGAACATTCCTTCTGCCTGTGCCTGAATCCTGCATGTTCCCTGTGGTACATTCCCAACAGAGCCTGAATGAAATGAAGATTTATGGGTATGTATATGTAGCATTACCGTTTAGAGCGTCCGAAAAGTGAATCAGAAAAAGCTTCTGTTATGCAACACATGCCTATCCTATGAATTCTGCTTGAGTTTTTGAATGTATTTAGCTTAAATCAACAGATGGTCACCAAACACTTGAGCAAACCAAACTACTGAATGTAGTTTTCTTCATCAAAAGGAGTCCCGCATTTTTAATCAAGTCGAGATGCGGCAACATCAAGACCGTACATCTTAATATATGGATAATTTGATTTAGACACACTCAAACGGCCGGATCAAAGAGAAGTGCTTTTCTATTGCCGGAGTTGAAAAAGTATCTTACACATGTGGAACCCCTATAGATGGCGGAAATAATAACTCATTTGAGCAAGACGGACAACAATATAGTTTTCAAGAATTAGTTGTAGATCCCGATTTCTTCTCCATTTTTGGAGTAACAATAGAAGAAACAGGAGTTCCGGCGACTGACCAAACGTATTGGGTTAACAAGAATGCTTTCAATTCGCCCTTGACTAACAAAAAAGATATGACTATCAATTTAGGTCATAATCAAATAGCACCTATAGCCGGTATAGTGAGCGACATGCATTTTAGATCATTATATCAGAATGTAGAGTATTATAGAATACGACGGATGACAAAAGGCCGATTCCCATGGCATATAGTGGTCAAAATAGATGATAAAGCTGATATGCTTGCCACATCTAATAAGATACAGGAAGAATATAAAAATTATAATGGAGGAGAAATTACTGTTACGGAAATAAACTTTGTCAGTGATACTGTTAAAAAATGGTATGAGAAAGAAGAAAAACTATCATTTATTATTACAGCTTTTACATTGCTAACTCTTATCATATCCATCATGGGTGTATTTGCCATGTCGATGTATATGATCAAACAAAAAGAAAAAGAAATAGGAATAAGGAAAGTAAATGGAGCTACTGAAATGCAAATCCTGCTGATGCTCAATAAAGATTCTCTGATAAGGGTTCTTATCGCATTCATCATTGCCGTGCCAATAGCGTATTATGCCATATCAAAATGGTTACAAAGTTTTGCTTATCGCATAGACATTAACTGGTGGACATTTGCTAAGCAGTAATCCCTGATTACAACTGTCTTACCCGTATATCGGTAAGCTACATGACAATGGAAGGCCAGCTACCGCAACCCAATAACGCATACTGAAAATGAAATAAAAAGAATATAACAAATAAAAAATATTTAGCTATTTGAAAATTAAATAACTTAACCAAAGTAGTTTTCGCACCCGAAAATAAAGAAGACGTAAAGCATTGAACGGTATAAATACCAAGTAACAAGGTGAATTCGTTGCTATAATGGGGCCTTCGGGATGCGGAAAATCGACCTTATTAAATATAGTAGGGTTACTAGACAACCCTACATCAGGGGAGTACCTTCTTGATGGTAAAGAAGTAGGTAATCTGAAAGAGAAAGAGCGTACCCAAACACGGAAGGGAAATATAGGATTTATATTTCAGAGTTTCAACCTGATTGAAGAAATGACGGTTTATGAAAATGTCGAATTACCATTAATTTATCTGAATATCAAATCTTCGGAACGTAAACAACGCGTAGAAGACGCTTTAAAGAAAATGAATATTAGCCATCGTTCGGGTCACTTCCCTAATCAGCTTTCTGGAGGACAACAACAACGTGTAGCTATTGCCCGCGCAGTTGTAGCCAATCCTAAACTAATACTTGCGGATGAGCCTACAGGTAACTTGGACTCTAAAAATGGACAAGATGTGATGGACTTATTAACAGAACTGAATCAGGAGGGGGCAACAATAGTAATGGTGACGCACTCTCAGCACGATGCATCATTTGCTCACAAAACAATTAATCTGTTTGATGGTAAAGTAGTAGCAGAAACTCAACTGTAAATAATAATATTAGTGAATCCTTTTGTAGAGTAGCCACATTCATATAAATATCTTATATAATGACTGATGGCTACTTTACTTCGTATATTTAATTCTAGTTTAGAACAATAAAACTATAGCTATGTTTGTAGTGATTATAAACACTTATTTTTCTTAAAAATAATATTTTTCATTATTTCGTAAAATATATTTCTTCCGCAATCGTCTACATTAATAGAGAGCTCTTTATAAAACGATTGTAAAACATAAAAGAATTAAACAATGACAACTAAAAATTTTGATATGGGATGTTTTGGACAACACCCTTTTGGTAAAGACGGAAGAAAAGTACTTAAAGAAAAATGGTCTCAAATGACCGATAGTGAAAAATTGGAGTTTATGAATAAACGTATGGAAAACTTCGATAATCATGAAGATCATTTTTCCATTGAAGCAATAGATTCCCGCTGTGAAAAATGGATGAGTATGTCGAAAGATGAGAAGCAAGCATTTATTGATCAAAGAAAGGAAGCTTTTGAGCACAGAATGCATGGGATGCACAGACATTTTGGCTTCGGTGGATAAAAAATATAATTCTATAAAGCCGTTTACAAAGAATAATTGTAAACGGCTTTACATATATAAAAATTAAATCTTTAAGAGGCTAAGTTGGAATTATCATTCAATAAACTAAGCGTAAATATTGTCCATCCGTTTTCGAAAGAGTGCTTAAGATTCCCTCCATGTAGCCTCATAATGTATCGCGAAACACTTAGACCAATACCCGATCCATTTTCTTTAGTAGTAAAGAAAGGGATGAATATATTTTCAAGAACCTCTGGTGGAATAGGATCACCATTATTGGCAATATTGATTTGAGTCTTATCTTCTCGACTCACAATGCTTATTTCTATTTTCCGATGCTCTGTATTATTTAAAGCCTCAATTGCATTCTTCAACAGATTGACAATGACCTGACTCAGCTGGGAGCTATCTGCAAAAACCATTAAATCTTCGGAATCGCAATTTAGGATAACATCAATATTTTTAGACCTTAACTCAGCATCTTCGAGCATGAGTAGAGAATTTATAAAAGTAAAAAGCCGAATCGGAGTACGTGAAGGCTTTGCGACTCCCGAAAACCGTCGATAAGACTCTACAAAAGAAGTCAATCCTATAGCCGTTGAATTGATAATAGACAAGGCTTCTATAGTCGTATCTTTTAATATTTGAGGATCGGATGAATCCTGTTTATAAGAATATAGCAGCGTATCAGTTAATGAGGTAATCGGAGCTATAGAATTCATTATTTCATGAGTCATTACCCTGATAAGTTTAACCCACGACTCCATTTCTTTCGCTTCCAACGCATCATCTATAGAATAAAGCGTAATGATCCTTAAAGTACCCGATTTTATTTTAATACTGGATACACTCAAGCTAACTTCTTTTTCTTCCTTTTCATTCAGAATCTTAATTTGTTTATTATTATCCCCAGCTTTTAACTCTCTAAACATATCAGGAAAATCTTGATTAATTATCCGCAGTTGGTTTAGATGGGTAAAAACAGGTAATCCTAGCAGTTTCGTAACTGCCCTATTAGTGTGTTTGACATTATTATTATCATCCAATATAATTAACCCTGTAGGCACATTTTGGATAATAAGGCTCAGAAATTTCTCATTTTCGATAACTTCTAGTTTTGCCTTAGAGAGAATATCCCTTATTTGATTCATCATCTTGTTTAGTTCTCTCTCACGTCTCGATAGTTCCTGCTCTCGTAAAATGAAAGCGTAAATCCCCTTCAATCGCATTCAAAAAACAACAATATATTCTTGTTATACTACTATCATAATAAAAAGCCAAACGACCGCTGCTCCGCAACAAAAAAACAGAAATATAGCAATAAAACATACGCATGAATTCGTAATAGATAAGTAGCAAGAGTGATCTGAAACCCCTAACAAAATAAGGTAAAAAATAGCCTATATTCGATCGATTTAAACATTGTGCTTTCTCTTATAATCCATACTTCTTTAATTTATTGTATAAGGTTGGGCGTGTTACACCTAATTCATTTGCAACAGCCGAAATATTATTATCATATTTCTTCATAGCCTTTTGGATCAATATATTTTCCATCTCTTCCAAAGTTATGGATTCAAGTATGGTTTGCTTTTCTTCGGCTGATCTCATATAAAAATCAGATGGCTGTAAAACATCACCATCGCTCAGAATCACAGCTTTTTCCACAGCATGCTGCAACTCCCTTACATTACCCGGCCAAGAGTAACTTTCCAGCTTCTTTATAGCCTCTTTACTCAATATAAGATTCGGTTTATTATATTTCGTTTTAAAACGACCTAGAAAAAAGTTAGCTAATTGCGCAATGTCATCCGTTCGCTCGCGTAGAGGAGGAACCTCGAGCTGTATAGTATTGATTCTATACAATAGATCCTCTCTAAACAGACCTGACGAAACCTCTTCGAATAAGTTTGCATTAGTGGCACAGATTAGTCTAATATCTACATCTATAGGTTTATTACTACCTACCCTTATTATCTTTCTCGACTGCAAAGCTGACAAAAGCTTAGATTGAAGGGTGATTTGCAGATTCCCTATCTCATCCAAAAACAAAGTCCCTTTATCTGCCGCCTCAAATTTACCTGCACGATCTGTCTTTGCATCAGTAAACGAGCCTTTTACATGCCCGAAAAGTTCGCTTTCGAACAAAGATTCGGTAACTGCACCCATATCTACTGTAACCAGCGTTTCTTGGCTACGAGACGAATATCGGTGTATAGTTTTTGCTATCAGTTCTTTCCCTGTACCATTCTCTCCTGTGATCAAAACATTAGCATCTGTAGAAGCCACCTTCTTCACCATATTGAGAAGTTCCTGCATAGGCTTAGATTCTCCCCAACATATATCTTCTTCTTTATTTAGCTCTGAATTAAGCAGATTCTGTTTCTCTTTCAGCTTCTTTACCTCTTTCCGAGACTCACAGAGAGCATAAGCAGATTGAAGTGTTGCAACAAGTTTAGTATTGTCCCATGGCTTTACCACAAAGTCGGTAGCTCCTTCTTTTAATGCTCTTACAGCTAAAGATATATCCGCATAAGCTGTGAAAAGAACCACAGGCATTTCAGGACTTATCTTTTTTATTTCAGATAACCAATATAGCCCCTCATTTCCGGTATTGATACCTGCCGAATAA